AAAGACCTGCGTTCATCCAAGTCACCTGCGTGATCCGAATCCACATAATCAGTGGTCTCACTGCCATTACTGTCCCTTTGGTACACAATTCCAACGTCTGCTGTCCCCTTCAAGTATCTGAGGATCCACTTCACAGCTTCCCAATGAGCTTACCAGGATGCTTCATATAACGGCTAACAACGCTCACTGCTTGTGAAATATCAAGCCTAGTGCATACCATAGCATACATAATACTACCCACCGCACTAGAATAAGGAACACGAGACATATGCTCCTCCTCCTCCTTAGTCTGCGTTGATAATTTATCTGAAAGTTTAAAGTGTGTCGCTAAAGGTGTACTTATATATTTCGCTGACTGCATATTAAATCGTGCAACAATCTTTTCAACATATTTCTTCTGAGAAAGACGTAAAATTCCTGCAGTTCTGTCACGCAAAATCTCCATACCCAATATTTTCTTTGCAACACCTAAATCTTTCATCTCAAATTTAGCACTCAATTGCCTTTTCAGCACAGCAATATCAGACATATTCTTAGCTGCTATCAACATATCATCAACATATAGTAACAGATATATCAAAGATCCATCCTCCAATCTCCTATAGTAAACACAGCTATCCATCTGACTTTTAGAATAGTTCTGACTAGCCATGAAAGAATCGAAACGCTTATACCACTGCTTAGGAGATTGTTTCAGCCCATATAAAGATTTCTTCAATAAGCAAACATGATCTTCCTTACTCGGAATAGCAAATCCTTCCGGTTGCCTCATGTAAATCCGCTCTTCCAACTCACCGTGAAGAAACGCTGTTTTCACATCTAATTGCTCCAGCTCGAGATCCTGTGCAGCAACTAATGCAAGTAAAACATGAATAGAAATGTCTTACCACATAAGAGAACACCTCGTTGTAGTCAATGCCCTCCCGCTGTGTATACCCCTTCGCCACAAGTCTCGCCTTATATCTCGCTCCCTCGACATCGGGAATGCCCTCCTTCCGTTTAAAGACCCACTTGCTACCAACAATCTTCTGGCTTTTAGGTACTTTGACCAGCTCCCATGTTTGATTTTGATGGAGTGATTCCATCTCTTCACTCATAGCCCTTATCCACCGCGACGACTCAGAACTAGCCATCGCTTCAGAATATGATGAAGGCTCATCTCTCTCCACCTCGTCATCTACAGTCAATGCATAAGCAATATTTGTATAACCATAACGTACTGTTGGTTTAATTTGCCTTCTCTATCTACCCACGGCTATAGTGTGCTGCTGCTCTGGTGATTGTTCATTATCACCAACTTCAGGAATTACGGCCTCATCTGCAGTCTCAACTTCTGTTACCTTCGAGGTCTCCGGAGTCTCCACCTGAATCTCCACCTCACTACTGACACCACGATCTGTCTGCTCTGCTGGTTGTGTCTCAAGACCCCTCCTTTGAAGCATTGCAGTCTCGTTGAAGATCACATCTCTGCTGATTAGAAAACCGGGTGATCTGGGATCAGTGCACCATAGCCAGTAGTCTTTCACCCCATGTGCATAACCCAGAAATATGCACTTCTTCGCCCTCGGCTCAAGCTTACCATCACTCGCATGAGCATACACAGGACATCTGAATACTCGTAATCCGGAGTAATCAACAGGTTTCCCAAACCATACTTCCTCAGGAGTCTTCCACTCTATAGTAGATGATGGAGATCGATTAACTAAATAACATGCCATGTTCACTGCTTCGGCCCAAAATTCCATGCCTATTCCTGCATGCGAAAGCATGCTCCGAGCTCGCTCCGGTAAAGTTCTGTTCTTCCGTTCTGCAACGCCATTCTGCTGCGGTGTCCCGGGCATTGTGCGGTGTCTCACAATCCCTTCTTTCTCGCAGATATCGGTAAAATCTTTATCATAAAACTCCATGCCGTTATCGGTTCTCAGGCACTTGATCTGTTTATTTGACTGCTTCTCAATCAATGCCTTAAACTTCTTGAACCGATCAAACACATCAGATTTGTGCTTCAGAAAATAAACCCATACCTTTCTAGGGTAGTCGTCGATAAATGTCAGCATATATCGGGCACCTCCTTTCGAAGGAACTGGAGACGGGCCTCAGACGTCTGAATGAATATATTCAACTGGTCTCTTGGTTGAATGAACAGCTGTTGTAAACTTAATTCGGCGATGCTTCCCAAAGATGCAGTGCTCACATAAGTCTAGCTTCCCTGTCTTCTGACCCTTCAACAACACCCTATCACTCAGCATCGTCATACCTGCCTCACTCATGTGCCCCAAACGCATATGCCATAACTGAGTCAAGTCAGAATCTGACTCACCTGATGAAATTGCAGCAGCTCCGGTCACGGTATCTCCCAGTAGATGATAGAGAGAACTCACTTTCTTCCCCTTCATCACTGTCATGGCAACTCGAGAGACCTTCAGCACTCCACCTTCAGCGGTGTACTTACACCCAATATCATCGAGTGTCCCTAGAGAAATAAGGTTCTTCTTGAGCTCTGGTACATGCCTCACGTCTGTCAGTGTGCGTACCACCCCATCGTGCATCCGAATCCGAACTGTTCCTATCCCCACAACATTGCAGGTTGCATTATTCCCCATTAGAACTCTACCACTATCTGCAGTCTGGTAAGTAGTAAACCAGTTCTTATGAGGCGTCATATGATAAGAACACCCCGAATCTAGCACCCATTCGTCTCCTAACGAACCAGTAGTCACACACAAGACGGCCTCTGCATCACTAGTGCCCTCCTCAGCAACGTTTGTTACACTGCTTGTGGCATTCTGCTTGTCACCTCTATTTCTCCGCTTCAGACAATCTCTCGTGATGTGCCCCTCCTCGTGACACTCAAAGCACTTCACGCGTCCTTTAGACTTTCTATTGCGTGACTTTGACCTAGTTTTACCTCTGCTACTACTGGACCCTCGATGTTGTTCTCTTCCTCGAATCACTAGTCCCCGCACTACATCCTGCGCTAGACTGTTATCTCGCAACTTTCTCTACCACTCTTTAGAAAATAATGTAGACTTTACCTCTTCCGAGGTAATTGTAGTACGCCCCTGAAGTAGTGAATCAGTAAAGTGCTCCCATGATTCAGGCAAAGAAGCTGTTGGAAACAGACGCGAAAAACAAATACAGAACACAGAGATTTACGTGGTTCGATCACAAGGTGATCTACGTCCACGGGCGAGGCAAGATAAGATTCCACTATAATCAAAGAGAGTACAGTTTTCAGAAGTCGAAACAACGACAAAAGCTCACGGCTCACAAAACTCTCCGAAAACAAAATTCTCTCATCACCAATGAAAAACCCTAGCCACAGTATAAATAGTGCTCCCCAAAAATTTTCGGAGAGTGGACCAGTATCCAGCTCCCCATAAATAGCCGCAGTATCCAGCTCGAGTGGACCGCCATAGAGATTTGTTCACTTACTCCGAGTTGGGCCTATCGGCTCAACCCTCCGCGTCGCGAATCAAATCTCAATTTTTTTCTCCACTTTCGGGTCGCACAAAAAATATGTCGGGTCGAGTGATAAACTGGACCGAGTACATAAAATTCAAGACATATTTAACAGAAGCCAACAACATTATGCCTTGTTCTTCATCATCAAGTATCTTACCGACGTTCTTCAAATCCATCATGAGTTTATTAAATTCATCTAGGTGTGATCTGATCGATGTACCTTCAGTATATCGAAATTGAAACATCCTCTTCAACATGTATAAGCGATTGTTCAGACCCTTCGTTACATAGAGTGCCTGTAATTTTGCCCACAATGCTGCGGCATCCTTCTCCTCAGCCACCTCTATTAATACTTCATCCGATAAATTCAGCAGGATTATACTATTTGCTTTCTCCATTAGCTCTGCTTTATCAGCCGCTTTCATTACAATGGGTAACCCATCTTCGCCATCTAATGCCTTAGCCAAACCTTGGGTTATCAATAGTGCACGCATCTTGACGCTCCATAACCCAAAGTTGTTCCTCTCATTAAACTTCTCAACCTCAACTTTCGCTCCAGACATAATTGTAATAGCAGAATTTCCAGATAATAATCAGACAAGCAAAACCCCCAAATCACAATCCAGAAAATCCAACCCTCAAGCTTTGATACCAATTGTTAGAAATATAACGCGGAAACGACAGGATCTTGCAAATTAAGTCAATGCGAAAATACCAGAGAAATAAACGAGGAACGATAAAGGACACCAGAGATTTACGTGGTTCGGTCCGAATATCGGTACCTACATCCACGGGGAGAGCTAGCAACAAATAATCCACTATAATCGGAAAATCAGAGTTACAATTCGCTTATACGCTCGAGTGTTTCCCACACCTAAATTTAAGCTCAAACCCAAAGTGTTTACGAATAAATAACTCAATTGGACAATATAAATTCACTGCACAAATTACTGCGTGTTCAAGCCCAAAGCAAAACGCTCTCGTACGATCAAAATCAAGAACGTCGTACGTACTTTGCTTTTGTTCTCGCGCGGCGCCCTTCCCTAAGAGCTTCGTGGGCGTTTCCGGCTAGTGCGGCTCGCTCGATACCCTTATCTGTTCGGCAACATATATATACATATGGCAGAGTCCTCCTTTTCTACGTCTCTAATAGAAGGAGTCCATGTACGGTTGAAATAGATATAATAAAATAAAGTGTGCCCCTAATTTTTTCGTCTTTTAGTGGCCTTCTTTATTTCTCTATTTGTGCTGCCGAGAGCCCCTCGTCCGAAATCAGCCAAATAAGAACGCGAGTTTAAACTCGAGACATAAATTCAACAAAAACAATGTGGCTGCCGGAGTGATCGTCGATATGAGTGTGTACTTGTGAGAGAAGAGGAAAGACAGAAACTTGGTGACAAACCCGTTAAATAACATGGGAAATGGCCATTCAAGTGTGTCTATGGATTTCACATTTCCACATTTAATTTGATTTCTAGCATTATCAAATCTATGATGTGTGTATCTGATCATATTTGATAGTATATATGCTCAACATGCATCTGAACTGCTTTGCTTCCATCATCAGGAACCTGTCTCCGTTGCTTTTTCTGTGCTCGATCATGCAATGCACTTTCATGGGTGGGTATCCTTTTTCATTTTTTTGTACTACAAGTTACCCGAGACCAGATAAGAGAACTTACTATGAATATACAAGCTTGTGGCATGTCTACGGAATCTTGTCCATGAATTCCTGGTTCTGGAGTGCTGTATTTCACAGCCGGTAACCGAACAGACACTTTTCATTTTGGTCAAGTTTTGTATCATTGAGTGCCACCTATCGTATCATGATTTTAGATCCTGTCTTAATGAGCAGAAAATTGGCTAATAAACTTCCTGTATAGAATAAGAGCCCTAACTCTGTTTAGCTGATTCTATTGTTGGTCTGAACATGAAAGTCTGCATGGCGATGGGCGTACAGCTTCTTCTATGGGCGGTATGGGCTGGTGTCACACGGCATCCATTGCGCTGGAAATTGTGGGTGGTAGTGGTGGAGCTGTAGCAATGCTGTTGGAGATTTACGACTTCCCACCTTACCAGGGATATATAGATGCCCATGCTCTTTGGCATGCCACTAACATTCCTCTGACCTATTTATGGTGGAGCTTTACTAGAGATGATGCCGACTTCAGGACATCGACCCTCCTCAAGAAGAAGAAATAGACACTTTCACAGAAAACACGATTTATCAGAGTCGTGACTCTTGAGCGGCAGACATAGCTCCTCCTCGGTTAAGTCTTCACACATTACAGTTCTCGCCAGCATTGCCTTTGTTTGCTTCTAGTTTGACGAGAACTCAGTCTTAATGCGATATGCTTGTAATGGAACTGATCTTTGTGTTCTATTTCCACCGACCAGAAGAAAACTAGCAGATGAGAATTTTGATCTAGGTAGCTTAAAATTCAACCGTAGATTTGTTTTGTTTCTGTCATCGAGGATATAAAGATCCAGATTGTGCTTTCAAGGTTATGATCCACATCTCATATACCGGTTTTGATGCAACTTGCTTCTTGATGTGCTCGCACCTGTTCTGATGTTTGTTTAAGATTATTCGGAGCAGTAAAGAAGTAGGTCTGGATCATGAAAATTCTCTTTGAATCGTTATCATTGTGAGGAATCACTGCTTATACCGAGTCAAAATTCAACTAGCAAAAACAAAGAAGAAAAATGCGATGTCTAGTGACTAGTCTTGTAATAATGGGCCCCATAGCCCAACCCAATATACCCCTTTAATTTTGGCCGCATATATATATATAAGGGACGGACCAACCGAGAAGAAAGGAAAAGGAGGAAGGTGAGTTCGTCCGAGAACAGGAAAAAGGACCTACGGAGAGAAGAAAGAAAATTTTCGAGGTTCTCATTTCAAATGTCTCGACAAGCCGAATCAACTCCGCATTGCAACACCTTATAAGTATTCAAACCCATTATTAACCTAATCGGAGTAATTTTCGATGTTAGGTGGTAAATTCAGAGTTATGCAAGTTTTGAGCTATGAAGCCTGATTTTGGAGTTACTAAGTAATGATAGTTTAGGGCGTCGTGGAGTCATAAGTTTCGACAAAAGTCAATTCGGAAGGATGAATGGATCATAACAAATTTATGAAGTTTCGCGTTCGAGTTACGCGTAACGGACAATATGTGCGAAGAATGTTGAACGTTTGCTATAAACGAGTTTCTTCATTAACAGGTAGGAGTCGCTTGGTTAACGAATTAACGTAGTTAGTCGATTCATTCGTTGGAATAGTGTGTTTCTCGAATTTTGATATCGTTCTTCGATTAATTGTTCGGAATACAAGTGTGTTGGCCTGAGTAACCATTAGGTTGGTTTTCAACTTTCCCAAATAAGTGGTATTATCTCTTTTATTAATTTACAAACTCATATTCTTGAAAGTGATGGAGATTTAATATAGTATGAGTCATAAAAAAACATATTTCTTACATAAATGGGATTGACTTTTACTACCCTTTTACAGTTGGTTGAAAGGCATTGGAAAGCCTTATTTGAATTTGTTTGAAATGCTTATTTGTGAATGTTTTGATTAAATTCCTTGTGAAGGGAATTGCCAAAAGTGATATGGATTGATTACGAAATGCTTTATGAAATGCATTCTATTTTGTTGGAAAGGTATCATTCACCTTTGATATGTTAGATTTGAAATTGATGAGACATGATATTATTTTATAAATGTGCATAGTGAATGTTTGATCTGCTTAGAAGAGATGTATTACTTAGTAGGATGTGGTTGCTCATACCATTTTTTTCAAATCATTTTCAGGTTCCTCAGTGTTCATTAAATAGGACAGGACGCAAGCACTAATAACAGGAAATCTTGTGGTAGTTGAATTTTGGGTAATCATTAAAATTGTATTCATAAATTTTGTTAGATTATAGAAACTCTGATACGTTTTGACTTTAAGGCTACGTCCTTCAGTGAAGAAAAGAATGACCGTGTCACTACCCCAATTTTTTAAGGATTCGGGGTGTGACAAGTCTTAACCATTTGATGCATTTATCAGCTTATATCATTCGTGGAACCAAATTTCATGTAATGGGTAGTGATCGACATGAGGAAGTGGTATCGCAAATGACCTGCCTATGTGACACTTGACAAAGTTGTCTAAGATACCTTTTACAGACGCACGATCGGCTTTTACGACGCTTCACAAAGTTGCCTGTCTAGATTTTCGAATATAGTGTGCTGGACTATGTGGCTTGATCTCTGCCCCTTCTTGTAACTCACTTATAACTTATAAGCGGAGGAAAATTGTTATTATTTACGTTACCAAGAACAGTTCCAAAAGCTTTTATTTATTAAATGCAACACAGTCTTTTAAGGACAGAAGATGTTTTTCGTTGCCATTAAGAAATCAAGCCGCTATTCAGAATACCAAAGTGCCCCAAAAATAGTCTCATCAAACAGGTGTGTCAAATCGAAAATAGTTCAATCCAAATTGACATATTCAACCCGTATTAACTCATTTTTATTTAATATAATTTTAGGGGAGAATTATCCAAAAAATCCTAAATCAATTGTAATTGTGCCAATTCAGTCATAAACCTTTTTTTGTTACTAATTGAGTCTTAAACATTTTGCATTTATGCCAATTTTGGCCGAAAATCGTTGACATGGATGCTAGCCGTTCTCCGTGACACGAACGGCACTGACGTGGACAAATTTTAACAATATTTTATTAATTTTTCGAATTTTTTTTATAAATTTTTAATTTTTCCTTTTTCTTTCATTTTCCTTTCCTTCATTCTTTTCTTTTTTTTTTCCCCACTGTGGCTGGCGGAGGTCAACGGAGCTCGCCGGACACTGGGTGAGGCCATGGTGAGCAGCCTCGCCCAAATCTAGGTGCGAGGCACGGCGGTGTTGCTGGAAGGTGCATTGCTGCTAGACTCGCCAAGAATCTACAAAAATATCGTCTGGAATAGCTAGAGATTCATTGAGCGACTATTGAGGCTTCGTAAAAGTGAATCGGCGTTAAGGAAGGCTCTGGATCGCGCCGGATGTTGAAGCGCAGCAGAAAAGTGGTTGTCGTCGGCGAACAATACCAAGGAGGAAGAAGGAACAATGCTAGTAAATACCTAGAGGAGAAAAACTTCGTTTTGCCAAGCAGACAAGGAGGGACTCTCTTATGAGTGTATCAGAATGTGTTCGCGGACAGAGAGAACAATGTTGGTAAATACCCACCTTTGGAAGGTGTGGCCACTAGGGGTGAACAAGATGGACCGCCCAAACCGAGACCGGACCGGATCGGACCGACCGGTTTGGTCCGGTTCTCGGGAATATCGGTCCGGTTCCCGGTTCCTAAAAGTGGAACCGGTTTCCGGGCGGTCCGGTTCCCGGTTCTAGGGTGAGAACCGGACCGGACGGACCGATAAATATATATATTTTTCTAATTTTTTCATATATATATTTATTTACTTTTTAAATATATATATTTAAATAACAAAAGAAGCATTTGATAGTTCATTTTTATTCGGTTCCAATGGGACCAACCCAAAAATGCTTTCATATATTGGTCCCGAAAATGCTTCCCGATTCCCTCTTGCCTTTACCAATTGGTCCCATTGGAACCGGTCCACGGTCTCAAGATTAGCCGGTCCGGTCCCCGGTCCTAGAAACTGGGAACCGGTCCTCTCGGTCTGGTTCCCGGTTCCTGGGTTGGACCGGACCAGATCGGACCGGGAACTACTCATCCCTAGCGGCCATGGGCAAAGGCGGCCGTGGCCTCGCTAGCCGCAGGCGAGGCCGCCTTAGCCCACAGCCGTGAAGGCCTCACCTAGATCTGGGCGAGGGTTGTGACCTTCGCCGATGGTCGACGTGGGCTTCATGACCCTTGCCCAGTGGTCAGCAAGCTCCAACGACCCTCGCAAGCCACGGTGGGGAAAAACAAAAGAAAAGAAGGAAGGAAAGGAAAACAAAAGAAACGGAAAAAAATTCGAAAAAAATTATAAAAATTGTCCACGTCAGCGCCAGTCATGCCATGTAGAATGGCCAGCGTACATGTCAGCGGTTTTTGCCCAAAATTGGCTTGATAGACTGGTTTGGTATAAATGCAAAAAGATTATGATTCAATTGGCAAAAAAAAAGTTTAGCACTGAATTGGCACAATGGTAATAGGTTTAAAACTTTTTGTAATTTTCATAATTTTATAGATTCTACTTAACATCTAATCCACGAATCTGCTTGACAACGTAGAAATGAATTCGGTTTCTTGGAAATTTCTCTTTCCAACCGAACTAATTTCAATAGAAGTAGGATCCAACAATATATATATTCATATATATAACATAGATCCTTTAATATACATGAGATACACACAATACAAATGTGAAATTTTTACATATGGAAATTAAATCCTACATAGAAATAGAAAAACTAAAAATCGAAGGAAAGAAAATAAATTTGTGGCCACCACTTTTTACAATGCAACTGAATGACTGATGACAATTTTATAAATTTGGCAAAATTGAGTGGATTTAGTCATGTAAGGGATGGAAATAGCGTCTCCCTCACAAAAAAGAAAAAAAACTAGAGATTTTCCTTCAATATCCTCCGCATCACAATTGTCCCTTCAATGCATCATATCCCTACTAAGATCGAATCCATCATGACTCCTCCCTTGGCCCAAAGTGCAGTCCCCGAACGTAAGATTTAATTCATCTTATCTCTCATGATTATGTCGGTCATCAACGGTTGCGCGGCATAATGCATCT